GTGTTAGTTTTCTCAGCCAAGAGGAGAGGACATCCTGAGATAAACTTAAGGAAAATCTAACTATTGTTGCCGGCAAGCTCGCATGTTGGAAACATGCTGAAATCATTGCTCCTTTTCTGACCATCTGAAAATTCTGTTTCAGTTCACTTAGGACACGTACTTTCACCCTCAACAACAGAAGGTTATTCTCCACAGCCCATTCTTTAACAGCAGGGCTTGCCTGCTCCTCCAGCTGCAATTCTTTTACCCTTCACTAAGGCTGCCAGGAATGAAGAGGGGAGGAGGAGAAGTGGGCGGTGGCAGGAGGCAGGGCCTGGGGGTGAGCAGGGACCCTGCAGGCTCCAGCTGGAGGCTGCTTCTCTCTCCTGTTCGTGCTTCTGTTCAGAGCTGCCAGGTGAGTGCTCATGCTGAAGCAGGGGGCAGCTAGGCTAGCACAGTGCTGGGGGCTGCCTGGGGCTCTATAGTGTCTTTTCCATCTCGAATGTGCACACCAATGACCCAGGGATATTATTAACATTCAGATTTGATTAGCTAAGCTGGGGATGTGGCCTGGGATTCTGCATACTTGGTGATGCCAGTTCTGCTTCACATGGACCTAGAAGACTAGAAGAATCTAGCACGTTTTCCAGGTCAGGTGGGGTGAGATGGGAGCAGTGAGCTGGGTCCAATACTATCCTCGGTGGACATCCTTCATTCACACCTTGACTGTCTGAGATGGATTCTGCCACCAATTGAATCCTGAAATTTTTCTCCAAAAGAATAGAGATGCTTACAAAAATTCTTACCAAATTCGTGATGGAATTTAAAAAATATATTTCCATATTTGAAAATCCCCTCAAGCTCTGGGCATTCCTCCCTCTCCTAACAATTGAGCTCACAGATATTACTCCACCAACTAAAATCTTAACAGGACTCAGATCTAAGCAATTATCTCCCAGACAGGTTTATCTGCAAACTATTTCTCCAGTCTTAGAAACAGAACGGTGTCCCTTGAGCTGAATTTTGTCAGCAATGCTAAGCCCTCAGCTCCCTAGGTCTTAAAGTTCAGCCTGGGGGCTCTGGTCCCTGTGGGCAAAGCTGCAGACATGTTTATAGGAGGAGAATGTAGGTATCAGAGAATGAGACGGGGCGGGGGGGGGGGGGGGGATGCAGGGGGAGGGGCACGATCACAGAGTCCCAGGAAAGCAGGGGATGAGGGGGGAGGGAGGACTGTGTTTTGGCTCTGGCCTATAGGAAACCTGGTTTGGTCTGCAAACTTTGGGATATGGAACACAATTTTGTCTGAACGTGAAGCCCCAGAATGTGTGTGGAATGTGTTGTTTTGGTGATAACAGCCATGGGGCAAAGGACAGGAAGGAGACTCAGAATTAGATGTGGGGGTTCTAAACCAAGGGGTTCTCAGGTAAGTCCTCTGTCCTCCTTTTTCTGCTCTCCCTTCCAATCCTCTAAAGCACTGTGGTGAGCTCTGGAGACCCCAGTTCAGTTCCCAGAGCCTCAAAGGACATTTGGGTGTCTGGTTATGGGTCTGGGGTGGGCACGGGACACACAGAGAAGAACCAGAGACAGGGCCTCTGGAAACTTCAAATTCCCAACACTTAACATTTGCCAGGCCTGCCCTGTGTTAAATTGCAGTTCTGCTGGGAATGTGCCAGAAGTCTATAGAGGGTGCTGGGCCTGCACTTGGAAATGAGGAGGCTGAGAGCAAGACTTGAGAATTCACCAAGTTAGAATTTAGTCTGATAACTCTCCAGGGGAGCCAGGCTAAACCCTCAGAGCCCCAGGCTGCCTCCCCAGGACAGGGAACCCCTAGACTTATGAGGCAGGGAAGGGTTGCAGGCATCCTCACAGATGGAGCTGGTTGAGGGAGGATTCCCAACCAGCCTGGAAATGGGTAGATTATCATGTCCCACCCAATACAGGCCCTTAGAGATGCTCTGGTACAGACATCTTCCTTTACCGAGCTGGTGACTGAAGCTAGGAGTAGAGAGGTGGCGGACCGGTGCTACCCCAAAGCAGTGGTTCTCAACCAGAGTGAGTTTGACCTCAGGGGACAATTAGCAACATCTAGAGACGTTTGTGGGTGGGAGGGAAGGTGTTACTGGCACCTAGTGGGCAGAGGTTAGGAATGCTGCTAAACATCTTACAACACACAGGACAGCAGCCCCTCTGCCCCCCAACAAAAATTATCAGGCCCCAACTGTCAGTAGTGCCAAGGTTGAGAAACCCAGAACCTGCATTGGAACTTGACCTTCCTTTTGGTCTCTATGGAGTTCAATATCTCTCCAAACAAAATTTTATTAAACATTGATTGAGAAACTGTTGCCCTGGCCAGTTTGGCTCATCGGTTGGAGCGGCCCATGGACTGGAGAAAAACTGTTACCCCTCCCTCCCCCCCACCTCCCAGGCACTTCACTAAGTGCTTTTTCATCCATTACGTAAGCTAGTGATTTCGTTTTATTGTCTTAATTTTCAAGGTAGAGAACAGATTTTGTTTATCTATTTACCTTTTATTATTTTCAACTAGTCAGCCTCTTCTCCTGAATTCTGAAGAATTACCCAGTGTGCTTTTAGCACCACAATTTGATTTCCCTCAGAATCTGTAGAGTTTAGCTGTGCCACTGATGATCTTTCTCCTACTCTACTCCTGGTGGGTTTATAAATTTAAGGATCCCTTTACTCTCATTTTTGAAGAGTCTTGAGAGGAGATAAATCTCTATCTTCAATTTTCCATCTCTATTCATAAGGATAATTTTGCATCTTTCTAGAGACTGAAAATTAGTTTCTTCTAAAAATCTTAACCCAATATTATAGAGAATTTTTAGTGGCCTGATATACTTTATTTATTTATTTATTTATTTATTTATTTATTTATTTATTTATTTATTTTTATCCTCATCTGAGGACATTTTTCCATTTTTTGCACAGACAGAGTGGGAGGGAGAGAGAAAAAGAGAGAGAGAGGGAAACATTGATGTGAAAGGGACACATCGAGTGGCTGCCACCCGCACGACCAACCAGGGCCGGGGACAAACTGCAACCGAGGCACATGCCCTTAGCGGGAACCGAACCCGGGCCTCTCCGGATCACAGGCGGACGCTCCAACCGCTGAGCCAAACCGGCCAGGGCAGCCTGATATACTTTTGAATCTTCACAATATGATGGAGGAGTGAGCAGAGGTTCAAACTTTTGATTCCTAATGGCTCAAAATACAGTTTCTCACAGTTGGTGGATGGAGACATATTTTTTTTCTGGTCAACTTGAAATCTTTGGAAGCTTTTAATTTGTCTCTTCCAATTGCATAGAAGTGACCATTCTGCCTAAGTTTTTGGCATGTAGCCTGTTGTTATATATAATTTGACTCTAATGCCCATTTAAAATTGTTTTGTGCATCTTTGTGGGTATTATAATTGGGAAGCTGATACAAGGCTAAGCATGTTTCATTTACTTCCAATATTAATATAAGAATTAGGTTACTATTATTAGAGTTAAGAGGGAGAAACCTAAGCAAGTTCATAATCAGAGAGAAAATAAGGTGGTCTGAATTATAGGAAAGATAATTTAGAGATCAAATCCTTGAAGAAACCAGAAAGGAGAGACCCAAGGACATAGATTTGGAAAGGAAAGTAGCCTTGGACAAGGGTAGGGCTGCTTCTTTTTCTAAGATGCTATTGAACAGCGGTTCTCAACCTGTGGGTCGCGACCCCTTTGGGGGTTGAATGACCCTTACACAGGGGTTGCCTAAGACCATCAGAAAACACATATTTCCGATGGCGATTCATAACAGTAGCAAAATTACAGTTATGAAGTAGCAACGAAAATCATTTTATGGTTGGGGGTCACCACAATATAAGGAACAGTATTAAAGAGTTGCGGCATTAGGAAGGTTGAGAACCACTGCTATAGAAGGAAGTGACTATGAAGATAAGAGAAGTAGTAGCTTCAAGGTTTCACACCAAGAGTCTCTATTTCCTCTGTAGAATAAAAAGTTTGCATGGTCTTCTAGGAGTGAGGGGGACCAGGTGTAAGAGTTTGGGCTTCATGGTGATGGTTAGAAATAATAACTGGGCATTGAGAAAGGCTGCTAATTGGAACAAAAGTAAAGATGACAAACTGGCCTGGTAGTATGTAACATTTTGTTCAAGAATTGAGGAATTGCTGAAAGCTGTTACTGACCATGGCCACCTCTCATTGTGAGGGAGATATGAACCCAAGGAACAATGGCAAAAGAGAGTCAAATTTACATTTTTTTTCCAATCTGTTCTGGCTTTGACCTCAAACCCCAACCCCATTATATTTAACTAGTAGATTCAGCTGTTTTCTTAAAAAACAAAAAACAAAAACCACACCACATTCTCCTTTCCTATGTCTAAAGAACATTAGTCTAAAGCAAACCTTGATGCTCACTCTCTTCACTTAGTCCCCATGGAGCCCCCTAACCTAACCACATCTCAGTTTTACTTTGTAATGGGAAAGAGGGCAGCCCAACACACCTGTGAGCACCTGAGGGCATGGAGCCAGAGAGAAGCAGACAACAAGAGAATGCAAATTTGTCCCAAGGTAAGCACTAATTTTGTTCAGTTGATGCTGACAGTAGCACCAAATCTGGCAGCCATCACCTGGGGATAGATCAGTTTTCAGAGGACACTGGTCTCTTACTAGTCAGCCTATTTAGGGTGAGAGGGAAGGAGGGAAAGAGAGATAAAGACAGACCCTGGTCTCTAACCAACACTGAGAGTTCCTCTCCACTGCACCAGGGGACAGAGGAGGATGGAAGAGAGTCATACCCATACTTACTATTATTATTTTACATAGATGAGTCCATTAACTCAATAAATAAGAAAACCAGAGTCTTAGTATTTGATCAACCAGATCCTTGGAGAGGAGCAAGAAGGCTTGCCTTACCCATCTTTGGATTAGGAGTGACGAGGTGGCCACAGCTCCTCCAAAAGGACAGCGAGCACCACACCTACACTCATCATTGTCCTCTGCTTCATAACAGGATGTGTGGCAGGTTCCTGAGGCGGCTGGTGGCTGAGGAGAGCTGGCACTCCACCCCTGTGGGGCGCCTCCTTCTTCCTGTGCTCCTGGGATTCCGCCTCGTGCTGCTGGCTGCCAGTGGGACAGGAGTCTATGGTGATGAGCAGAGCGAATTTGTGTGTCACACCCAGGAGCCAGGTTGCAAGGCTGCCTGCTATGATGCCTTCCACCCCCTCTCCCCACTGCGCTTCTGGGCCTTCCAGGTCATCTTGGTGGCAGTGCCCAGTGTCCTCTACATGGGTTTCACCATGTATCATGGTATCTGGCATTGGGAAGACTCAAGAAAAGTAAAGAAGGAGGAGGAGACCCTGATCCAACAAACACAGGGCAGCACAGATGCCTCAGGGGCGGAAAGCCCCAGGCTGCTCTGGGCCTATGTGACACAGCTGGGGGTACGACTGGTCCTTGAAGGGGCAGCCTTGGGAGGGCAGTACCACCTATATGGGTTCAAGATGCCCAGCTCCTTTGCATGTCGTCGAGAGCCTTGCCTTGGTAGTATAACCTGTCATCTGTCCCGCCCCTCTGAGAAGACCATCTTCCTAAAGACTATGTTTGGAGTCAGTGGGCTCTGTCTCTTCTTTACTCTTTTGGAACTTGTGCTCCTGGGCCTGGGGAGATGGTGGCAGATGTGGAAGCAAAAATCTTCCTCTTCTAACTACTTCACAACTTCAGAGAGCACCAGAAAACACAAGGAACCAATTGATAATTTTCCAGTGGTGGAATCAAAAGATCAGTTCCAAGTAGCAGGTGAGAAGGGCACTGATATCCCTCTTTCTTTTTTGCCTAAGGTCTCTGTCCTGATGATCCCCTCTTGGCAGGTCCCTTACCCTCTGGGAAGTATAATTCCCACATGTTACAAAATAGAAAAAAGTGAAGGGATTAAACAAAACAACAACAACAAAAAACACCTTCTAGACACAGACAGACAACAGTATGGTGATTACCAGAGGGAAAGGGGGATGGGAGCAGGCAGAGGAGGGTAAAGGGAGGATAAATGGTTACGGAAGGAGACTTGACTTGGGATGGTGAACACACAATACAATATACAGATGATGTATTATAGAATTGTATACCTGAAACCTATATAATTTTATTAACCAATGTCACTCCAATACATTCAATTAAAAAAAAAAGAGAAAACCAGGTTCTAGGTAGATGTTCTGACCACTACTTCCAACCCAAACCCCATCCCTGTCAATTTGACAGCTCCTTCTGATGCACCAGGGCCAGAGTGCTCACTCGGTTGTACCTTCTTGTCCTCTCACTGACATCTCTTCCCATTTAGAAAAAGTCTCAGCTTCTGCTCAATTCTCTACTTTGCAGAATTATAAAGACACCTGGCTCAACTCTGAAGAAAACCTGTGACTGGATCTTTCCCCCAACATCCAGTGAGTGGAGATTCACGTCCGTGACAAGTTAGAGGCTGTTGAAGCATCTCTAAGGGCCATAGTGGGCCATCCTGCCTAAAGCATTTCCTTGAAGAACTCCTGCTTGTGCCTTCTCCTAAGAAATCTCTGGTGTCAGTATCACAATTTTCATGGGCTTTGTTCCAGAATCAGCCAGCAGCAACCTCCATAAAACTATGCCTCACCCTTGTCCTTCACAATAAAGATCGACTACTGTTGGTAGCATTCTTGTTGTTAAAGACAATCCTCCTACCTGTCTCAGTAATTCTACTTCTCTCTCCTATTGTTCCACATTCTCTGCAACCCCAGTTTCAAAGTCCTGTAACCCTGAATACCCCCAGCCTTGCAGTATATGTCATATATATACACTGGCTTTCCAAGCATATATAACCCAGTGTCCTTTAATATATAGATCAGATCTATTCAAACACTTGGCCACATCCTTTAGTAAGATTACTGTGAATTCAGAGGCTTATGTCCCCTGAACCACTGACAGCTCTGATTTCTGCTCAATTCTCATTTTCTTCTTTGTTCATGGTAGCTGCTCTCTTGGCTCCAGTATACAGCACCTTAAATGTGAAGCTAAGTTCCTACTTTTTAAACTTATACCCTTCAATACACACAGAAAAGACAGTAGTGTTCTACTGCTGATCCAGAGGTAACAGGAAGGGGTACTTACATCAGAGTGTGATTCTGGAGATAATTTAAAACTGAATGGTAGGTTTCTCTTTTCTTGAGTCTTTCAGTCATTTCTGTCCAAGAGCACTCTAGCCTCCCACTTTTTGCAGAAACACTTCTTTCCTCAGTTCTTCCTTGCCCTCAAATTCTCAGCAAAAGCAGTTAGCTAGTTTTGTTTTCTCTTGAATCCCAAATTATCCCCAAATAAATTAAGAAGCTGCATCCCTAAGGAAAGATATTTGGTTCCTCAAGAGACACTTTGGCAATAACTAGTAACAAACCACTACTAATTTTTCTTTCTGCTACAGAAGTTTTCATAAAGAATCCCTTATCTGCTATAGCTACAGCCTAGCCAAGTGACAAAAGATGGAAAAAAGCAAATGCCAGCATTTGAAATTCCTCCTTGATACTTGATAGCATCCCTTTGTAAACAGCTGTGTGTGTGTGTGTGTGTATAATTTCGTGTACCATATAATCACCCATTTAAAGTATACAATTCAATGGCTTTAGAATAGTCAGAGTTGTGCATCAATTAACACAAACAATTTTAAAGTATTTTCATTAACTCAAAAGGAAACCCTGACCCTCAGCTATAACCCCCAACATTGCTTTGGCACCTTGTTGAAAATCAATTGCTTATAGTTATGTGACATTTTTTTTTGGACTCTCAATTTTATTTGTGGAGGAGAGACTGTCCCATGATGTGACAGCTGTGGACTCTTAGCTAGATCCAGTTAGATCCAGGCCAGAACAGAGAATGCTTCCCATAAATCCCCTCAGAGAGTGATCAACCTTTACCCTATGCCCCAGCATGCTGATTCCTGGAACAGGACTTTGCCCTGCCCTGGACAAGCATGTAATACATTTTCCCCTTATCTGGAGCTGGTCAAACCCCAGTACCAATATTCATACTGCTCTGTGTTATATGCCCTTTAGTACCTGCCATGTGGCATGGAGGATATCCATGTTGTCTTGCTGCTGCCCAAGATATGTCTTGTATGTAAGTTCCCTTAATAAGCTCTTAATATAATGCTGGAGTTGTCAGCCTCTTTCTCTAGCCTCTTGGCCCCAGGAAACTTTCCTAACACTATTCCATTGATGTATGTGTCTATCTGTATGCCAGTATCATGTTTTGATTATTGTAGCTTTGTAACACGTTTGAAATTGAGAAGTGTGAGTCCTACTTTGTTCTTCTTTTTCAAGATTGTTTGGCTATTTGGGGCCCCGTGAAATTCCAGATGAATAAAATGGTGAATTAGGAAGCCTCAATATTTTCAGTAAAAAAGGACATTCATCTTAGGAGTATGGCAGGATTGAAGACATAAGGACTTTAATGAGACACAGGGCCTCATTTCTGTCACTCAATACATAGACAGACATATAGACACACACTCCCACCACAAACACTCATGACAAACATCAGTAAGTGAAAATAGCACTTCTTCCTTCTTGGTCCATATTAAGACTTGGAGTCCTTTTCAATATAGTATCCCAGTTTACAAAGACATACACTTATTCGTTGGATAATTTAAACATTTTATTAATTTAATTAATTTATTTTGAGAGGTGAGAGAGAGATTTGTTGTTCCACTTATTTGTGCATTCCTTGGTTGATTCTTGTATGTGCCCTGACCAGGGATCAAACCTGCAACCTAGACACAGAGGGATAACCAACTAAGCTACCCTGCAGGACTATAATTTAAACATTTTAAAACTAGATATTCTACGGGACTTCTATAAAAAACCCCCAAAACAGAAATTGCAGAAACCACCTTTTCAAGTTATTTAATCGTACATCCAGTAAATAAATACTCATTGAGCATATTATGGGAAAGGCAGTGTCTGATCTTGGGCACAAGAAAAAGTAAAGACTTCATATGTAAAGAAATAAAGTGGGAAGACTAAAAAACAAACCACCTCAGAAACAGAAGATCAAAAATCCATTGAAGAGAAAAAAATAATTCCCTGAAACAGGCAAGCATATTATTTGTTGAAAGCCTCAAGGATGTTCCTTGGGATAGCAAAATGGTTGCTGTCTTTAAGCTGGATACCAAAAGGCAATGTATCTGTGCTTCTGAATCTTAACCACTCTCACTTAACAAACTTCATATGCTTTTCACCCACTCTCCGGTTCTTTCACAATGTTTGCACAACTACTACAGCTTCAGCTGCACTCTCGAAGCATTGCTTTCACACCCTGGTCTTTTTTTTTTATCCTCACCCGAGGATATTTTCCCATTTTTTGTTCAGATAGAGTGGGAGGGAGAGAGAAGAGTGAGAGAGGGAGAGAGAGAGAGAGAGAGAGAGAGAGAGAGAGAGAGGAACATCCGTGTGAAAGGGACACATCCAGTGGCTGCCTCCCTCCCGCACGACCCAATCAGGGCCGGGGACAAACTGCAGCGGAGGCACCAGGTAGGTACGTGCCCTTAGCGGGAACCGAACCCCGGTCTCTCTGGACCACAGGCCAACGCTCTAACCGCTGAGCGAAACCGGCCAGGGCTCACACCCTAGTCTTGACCTCCTCAGGTAGGAGGATCAGAAACTGTTCCAGCACCAGCAGCTACCGGATTTGCTCCTTCCCAGCATCTTAGATGACAGCCACTCATAAGAGATCACCCAGAGTTGGCTAAGTACATCTTATAGTCCGCAGACCTCCTGGGAGTTGAACTATCTGAAAACACTTGTGAGAAGTCAGATCTGGGGAAGACTTTCTAACCCTGAATTCCTTCCCCTAACTTAACTACTAGAACCCCTCTCAGCACCGGGTGAGTGTGCCCCGTCATGAGAATGGGCTTCCTCGGCCTGGAGTCCGTTTCCTACGCTTGGGAAGAAAGAGGGAAATCAGGATGACAAGCTCTCCACTAGCTTGTGGGGCTAAACACGCCCTTCTCACATCACGGCTCTCAGGTTCACCAGACCCCCGAGAGTTGGTGGGGCTTTGGTGGGGAGCAGGATATCCTGCTTTTCTAGAAACTCAAGTAGACCTTAGGGCTGGAGGCTGAGAACTGGTTTCTTTCCCGGGAGAATGAGGCTGAAGAAGAAGGAACTTCTGGGAGAGCAAACCTAACGGGCCCAGCGCCTCCTTAGTCCCATCCAGGGCCCAGCTACACAGTCCTCCCGGAGCGCCACTACACCCTTCTGGGTGCAGCTCGCCTAGGACCCCAGCATTAAATCGCCCGAGCAGCCAGCGACTCCTAGTTCCCTCTCTCAAACCCCACGGACAGCCAAGTTCAGTTCGTTAGCGCCTAGGGCTGAGTGCCACCAGCTCCGGCTGCACAGGCGCAGTCGCTGCCCTCGGGCGCCCCCCCCCCCCAACCTCAAATTGTCTCGCATTCTTTCTAGCTTCCCCGGATTTCCGCATCTCTGTTGTCTGCCGGAGCAGCCCACGCCCGTCAGGCCTGGGTAGTCACGCACCGGACCTCCGCGGGGGGAACCGCCGCCTCCCCTCCGGGCCGTACCGCGCCGACCGAGTCCCCAGCCCCTGAAGTGAGGTCGCCGTTCCCAAGGCCGCCCCCGCCTGGGCCCGCCCGCAGCCTGCCGGCCACTTCCGCGCCTCGTGCCGGACCCGATTCGGGTTCTGGGGAAGGAGACGCCATGGAATCCAAGGACCTTCAGGAGGAGCTGACCTGCCCCATCTGTTTGGAGTATTTTGAAGATCCGGTGTCCATGGAGTGCGGGCACAACTTCTGCCGCAGCTGCCTGCGCCGCAGCTGGGCCCCGGACGGCGGCGCGTTCCCCTGCCCCGAGTGCCGGCAGCCGTCGTCGCCCGCCTCGCTGCGGCCCAACAGGGCCCTGGCCCGGCTGACGGAGCGGACGCGGCGCCGGCCCTCCGGCCTGTGCGGCCGCCACTGGGAGCCGCTGCGGCTCTTCTGCGAGGACGACCAGCTGCCCGTGTGCTTGGTGTGTAGAGAGTCCCAGGAGCACCAGGACCACTCCATGGCGCCGGTCGACGAGGCCTTCGAGAGCTACCTGGTGAGCTGGCCGATAGGGGGCTGCCACCCGGGAATGTTTACCGTTTACTTAACTTTCTCATAAAAGACCCACGGGGAGGCTCCTAGTGCCATTGGAAGCAAGAAACACCCTCCTCGAGGCCCAAAGAAGTTTTGCTACTCGAATCTTAGAGCAGAAGTTAAAACTGGGAGTGGGGAGGAACGGTGCAAGGCTCATCACTACTGCAGAATTTTCAAGCAACTGGCCCTGGGGATCTTCTAGTTTAAGACAAACACACTGAGGGGGGTTGGTATACCAGTGCTGTCCAATAGAAACAGGCAAACCATATTTACAATTAAACATTTGTATAGTGGTAAAAAGAATGTTCATTTTTAATCATGTATTTTATTTAGCCCAATTATCCAAAATACTGATTAACACTGTTATGAAGAATTATCAGTGAGATATTTTACTTTTTTTTTTTATAGTAGGTCTTTAAAATCTGTGTATACTTCATTAACAGCACATATCTATTCAAATTATCCACATTTCAGGTGTTCATGTGGCTAATGGATGTTGTATTGGACAGTGCAGGTCTATCCCATGGATGTCATAGACAACCGATGATTTGGGAAAAGCATGGTTTATAGTGGTGAGGCTGGATTTTGTTACTAGCATCCTTCATCAGTTGGGAAAAATCACTTAATGTTTGAATTGTAGATTATTTGTACTATCTCATGAGTTAGTTAAGAAGCTTCAGTTTAATAAATCAGTTTATCCTACTCTGCTCCAGCCACACTGGTCTTCCTGCTTTTGTTTCAAGGCTGTTCTCTTTCTCTACCCATACCTCCCATCCTTTAGATCTTACTTGCTTTTAGATCGAAGACCTTCCTTGATCATCTTTTCCAGAGTAGCCCTACTTTCTTCCATTACTGATGGTGTAACTCCAGTGGTCTCCAACAGAATTGGTATCTAGTAAGTACTGGTTGAATGTACTAATTTAGTGATACAAGTTAAAGTGTTTTGTAAACTATAAAATACTGTACAGTTTTATCAGCTGACTATAAACAGGAAACAGATTAAAGCTGGACAATGAAGTATACAGTAATTCCTTCATTCAGTAATATTTATTGATGCTTACGGTATGCCAGGCATTGTTCTAAAATCTGGATATAAACAAATGAGAAAGATATAGGCCTTGTCTTGTAGGGTACATAAGCATGCACACCAGTAATTTCATTATGTGACAATTATCCAAGTTCGTACCAAATACACAGAAAGTCGGAGGTCAGAGTGATCTGTGAGGAGTGAGGGATGGCTTTGCAGAGGTGTTAAACATGAGTTCAGTCTTGAAGGGCAAGAACAGCAAGGGAGGGGAGAGGATATTCAAGCCAAGGGAACAGCATATTCAGTGTGATATGTGATATGTGATATGTGATATTATGTGATATGTAAGAGGACTCGAGGTTGCTTGGTATTTCTGAAGTGTAAATCATGGGAGGGAGGATGATGGGAGTTGAGGCTGAAGAAAGAGCCAAGGGCCATGTAATGAATATCTTGTTTACAGCTTTCTCTTTGAGCAATGGGGAGTCATTGAAGGATTTAAAGGGAGGGAATGGCTCCGTCAGTTTTTTTGCTTTAGAAAGGTCACTTTGGTATCTATGTGGATGGAGAAGACCAATTAGACTGCTGTTGCACCATTTCAAGCAGGAGGTAACAAGGGCTTAAATTAGTGCAGGGCAGGGAGGATGGCGAAGAGGAGATGGATTCTTTATGAGCACTGGAGTTGAATGATGTGGTGACTAATTGAACTTGGTGGGTGAGGGAAACAAAAGAGTCTAGGACGGCAGTCCAAGTTTCTAGTGCTCATTTTGGGACATATTGAGTGTGAAATAACTGTGACAGGAAGTCCAAAGAAGAAGGACAGGAGGCAGAGGGCATCAGAGGCTCGAAACACTATTTTAGAATTGTCAGGCAATCCTTAAAGTCATAGAAGTAAACAGATGAAATTCCCTCAGGAGAACCACATAGAAAAAGGGGACATAAAGAGAAGCTTGGGAAATACCAGTGCTTAGTAACCAGCAAAAGAGATTGAAAGGATCCATTAGAGAAATGGAAGGGAAAATACATTTGTGGATGAGGGCTGAGGCAAATAAAGTGGATGGGTATGAAAGGGGAACATAGCTCCTAATCTTAAATCTTTAGCAATAATAATAATATTAATTGTGGAGGGCAGCTGAACCAGGGTCTCTTGTTCCTCTTGTGGTGTTTGCAAAGCTCACCCAGGAGCATTCTGTGCCAGGGGCAAGACCCTGTAGTGTTTACAAGGCTTACCCAGGAACAAGGTCCTGTGGTGTATGCAAGGTTCACCCTGGAGCTTTCTGCCCAAGGCCTCTTGTTGATCCTGTGTGCTGGCAAGGCCCACACAGGAGCCTTCTGAGCCACGGGCAAGAATGTATCGAGTCTGAGTCTCGACCTTGATCTTAGAGGCTGGTGGAAACATCTGGTGTTTGAAGATAATGAAGCTTTTGAACTCCCCCCTTCATTATTGCTATATAATAAACATGCTGAGCTAGCTCAGGTTCACTGTTTCTCAATCAGAGAGCAATGTCCCACCTGGCCCCAGCTTTTCTCTCTATAATGTCTCTGTGTCTTTTCTTTCCTTTATTGATTTTAGAGAGAGAGAAAGTGAGAGGGAAAGAGAGAAACATCGATGAGAGAGAACATCGATTGGCTGCCTCCTGCATGCTCCCCACTAGGGATCGGGCCCACAACCTAGGCATGTGTCGTGACTGGGAATCAAACCTGAACTGGCAACCTCTTAGTGCATGGGTTGATGCTTAACCACTGAGCCAAAATTTTCACTGATACATTGCCTGGGGCAAGAGAAACAAAGGAAAAAATAAATGGGACTACATCAAACTAAAAAGCTTCTGCACAGCAAAAGAAACAACCATCAAAATGAAAAGGGAACCCACTCTTTGGGAGAACATATTTGCCAATTGGATAAGGGATTAATATCTAAGATATGTAAAGTACTCATACAGCTCAACAAAAGGAAGACAAACGATCCAATTAAAAAATGGGCAGAGGACCTGAATAGACACCTCTCCAAACAGGACATACAAATGGCCAAGAGACATATGAAAAAATGCTCAACATCACTAATCATCAGAGAGATGCAAATTAAAACAACAATGAGGTATCACCTCACACCTTCCAGAATGGCTGCCATCAACAAATCATCAAACAACAAGTGCTGGCGAGGGTGTGGAGAAAAGGGGACTCTAGTACACTGCTGGTGGGAATGCAGACTGGTGCAGCTACTACAGAAAACAACGTGTTGTTTCCTCAAAAAATTAAAAATGGAACTGCCATTTGACCTCGTGATCCCACTTCTCAGAATATATCCTAAGAAGTCTGAAACACCAATCAGAAAGAATATATGCACCCCTATATTTATAGCAGTACTATTTACAATATCTAAGATCTGGAAACAACCCAAGTGTCCATCAGTTGATGCGTGGATAAAAAAAACTGTTACATTTACACAATGGAATACTATGCAGCTGTAAGAAAGAAGAATCTCTTACCCTTTGAGATGACATGGAGGGACTTGGAGAGTATTTGTGCTAAGTGAAATAAGCCAGTCAGAGAAAGACAAATACCACATGATCTCACTTATTTATGGAATATAATGAACAAAATAAGCTGACGATCAAAATAGATCCAGAGACATGGAAGTAGGGAACAGACTGACAAACCTCAGAGGGAAGGGATGGAAGGTGGGAAGAGATAAACCAAAGAACTTAAATGCATATATGTATAACCAATGGACACAGACCATAGTGTGGGAAGGCAGAAGGGGGTGGGAGTGGGGAGGAGGGGGTTAATGGGGAAAGAAAGAGGACATCTATAATTTTTTTCAACAATAAAGATTAAAAATACTATAAAAATTGAGGTCCTCTAATTCCTAGTGCAATGCACTTTTCACTATGTCACATCTAGTCTAGCTGAGAAGACTTCTTGGAAGAGGTGGGATTTCAGGATTAAATAATATGTCCAATTGGATAAGGGATTAATATCCAAGATACGTAAAGTTTTCATACAGCTCAACAAAAGGAAGACAAAGGGATTAATATCCAAGATATGTAAAGTACTCATACAGCTCAACAAAAGGAAGACAAACGATCCAATTAAAAAATGTCCAACAGGTGGGGAGTGAGTAGGTTAGAGTAACATTGGGATGGCCTGAATATCACGAAATTGACTAGGTGGGTGTTCAGGAGTCACAATCATTAGGTGCAATTCCCTGGTATCTGTCCTCCTCTGCACTCTCTGCTTAGTCACTGCTGTATTTAGCCATCTACAACTCCATCCCTATCCCCAGTTAGTTAGAAAAACATTAAGTTGCTCTTGGGTGGAGCTACCCTGTTTCCAAGCATACCATTTCTAGCACATACTCAGATGGGTGTACTGTGTCTTGAAGGTTGGAAGTTCCCTGCCTGGCCAGCGTGGCTCAACGGATTGAGGGTTGTATCATAGACTGAGAGGTCTGGGTTCAATTCCCAGTCGGGGCACATGCCTGGGTTTTGGACTTGATCTCCAGTAGGGGGCGTGCAGGAGGCAGCTGATTGATGTTTCTCTCTCATCAATGTTTCTCTCTCAAAAAAAAAAATCAATAAAAAATATTTTTTAAAAAAGTTGGGAGTTCCCTAATCCATGGAAAATATCCCCCATCCTATGCCTACATCTGAGCCCCACAGTGTGCCAGATCCTTCCTCTCAGGATCTGAACTCCTGAGCACGGCATCCAGAAAACCAGCTTTGATGAATTCCTAGTCCACTCTGCTTCTCTCTTGGGCCACAGCAATGGCTCAGGATACACATTAGAATGACCTGGGAACATTTTAAGAAACACCAAAGCCAGGCTCCCCTGTGCCCCCCAACCTCCAGGCATTTTGATTCACTTGGTAGGGCCCTTGACATCAGCGTTATTGAAAAGTTCTCTAAATGATTCTAATTTACATGTAGGGTTCAGAA